TTATACATACACTTGTGATCAGCTGATTAAGTCATCGATTTCGGCTGTTTCTTTTTTGTTTATTTAATGTTTATTATTTTTCCATAAAAGCCTAGCTCATTATATAACAAACAAAATATAAACCCACATCTCAAACTTTGTGCAAAAATTATAAAAATTGGCAAAATATCAGCTAGATTTTCAACTTTTTATTCAGATTTTTTAGAATTTTTTTGAGTATGCAGGTTGATAGCCCATTAAATTCCAGGGCAATAATGTGCAAGTTTTAAGTTGTTAAAGAATCGCGTTGATTTTTAATATATTTTTTTTTCTTGTAAACATTTGGTTAAGTGGTTTGTTGTCGAAAATCCTAAATTACGTTCTGTTAAGAAGGAACATAGCAATATTTCAGCCTTTTTACGTTCATTACATTTTCAATAAGGGGCCCCATGCGACTAATTGTGTCATTTTCGTTATGCGCTTAAATAAGGGTTGTCATCTGTGTCGACAGAATAAATATTTTTTGAAGCAGCTGCTGCAAAAAACAAAGCTTGTAAAGATTTATTAAGAAAACAATTCAAAATCAGTTCTACTTACAAGATTTAGTAACAGAGAAAAATTACTGGGAAGTTAAAAAACGTAATTTTTTACACAAAAAACGTCCAAACGTCAACAGGATAAAAAAAAAACGTCCAAATGACGTTAAAAACTTCAACCTGGCAACGCTGGGTAGCTGTTCTGCTTTGTTTCACGAATGTAAAGATGCTTTGCGAGAAATATGTAGGTACGTTTGTAATGCATGAAAATGCTTTTGGTGGAATGAAACGCCTTTTGTGTTATAAGGCATTTAAAACAGGAAACATGCTTTTAAAAGACGTTTTTTAATATTTTCATAAGGATATGGAAAGTTTCGATTAACACAAAAGACATATGTGTATGTATTTGTGAGCCTATCGCTAATTTACTTCAATACTGTCGTAACTAACAAACTTAAAATTCGAGAAAAAGGGCTTTAAAGTTTTGGATTTACATAATATGTATATACTCCCATAGTAAAAAAGTAATACATATTTTGTTCTAGTGAGCTACTGGTAAATGGTACAGCTATGAAATTTTTACTCAAAATAGAAGAAGAGTTTACGTTTATTCTTGCATACGATTTTTTCTTTGGCGTTACGACGCTTTTTTAGTAAATCAGCGATACACATACTTATGTACTTATATAAAATATATTTCCTCTTGCGCTCACCAACACGGCCACAGTCTTACTTTTGCCGACCCCTGGCTTAAAACGATAATATTAAGAAATGCGTGAGCTGGACAAGGAGTAGAAGGCAAAGACATCACAGCGCACGGAGGTGCGCGCGAGTGACGAAAGCAGCCACAGTAGCATGCTGAAATGACTCGCTTATATATACACGAGATTTGGAAGTTTTTATCCAGACGTCCAATCAACATGTTTGAGGTATCGTTGTAAAGGCCCTGGAGAGTGTGTCCAGAAATGGTATTCAAGCTTCATAAACGATTAACCGGATTCTTAAAAATTAGGCGTTTTTTTTGCTTTTGCCGGTTTAAGGGGGCATGTGGGTACACCCAACATATTTAGTGTTATTCTATAGGCCAATACCTTTCAAACGATACCTTATATATTAAGTTCCGGCTACAAGTTGGAAAGATATAGAGGAAAATGTGTTTTGGTTCGTGTCTCCGCTACAAGATGCTTTGGTATGTATGTGGCGTCTGTACGTGCCTTCATTTAATTTTGTTCAAACTTTCAGGAATTAAAGTACAAAAAAAACTAAGAAGGTTTGGTTCCAGGATGTCTTGATTCGTATGCCTTTGTGGGCGTGGCTGCTGCCTGAAACTCGAAAAAAGGCAAATTTTTTAAACTACCACTGAGGCCGCACTACTCAGTCCATATCATTGATGTGGATATCAGTAGAAGGGTCTTCAAACAAGCTATTTAACGCTATCTTTTGCGTTTATAAAATATAAATATGTTATAACGTTATCGCCTGAAAACTAAAAATCGGGCTGCTGAAAATATACATTTCGAGCATTTTCTCAAAAACTGGCCAGTCGATTTTATTCTAAGTTTCCACAAATCTAGCCCAAAACCTTAGCTTTCATCTGGTATATAGCCTATATCTGGTAAACTCTTGTTCTGGAGATATTGCTATTCGAATTGAAAAAATGTCGCTCCAAAAAGGGTCAAATGGTTAAAAATTAACATATCCGTTACTTTGGTTACTTTAAGATATAAAACTAACATACCCAGTACCCCGAAAAAAATTACCCATTCCCCGATTGCCACTTAAACCGAAATTCCCTGCAAATCGGGGAATTTCCCGCGAGTTGACAAGTTGAAGGATGCAGCTGTGCTAATCACTTCGTACATGTCTTGGAAACCACAATTTATGTGTATTTTAGAGTTTTGTTTTCAGTCGTATGCCGAAATTGCAACATTTTTCCCCATTTTAATAGGCGGTATGTACACAGTATTTAACTATGCTACATGGGTTTATCACCCGCACTTAACCAAACTGAGAAGACGCGTACAATATTACCTACAGTTGTACATAAATATGTATGTATAAATGCATTTAGTTCACCCAATGTGCCGCTACTACTTACATACATATGTATAAATTGCCACAGAGCAAAACTACTTGAGAAAAAAGCATTAGTTTAATAGCACGAGTGCAACACCGTACACGTGATAGAAGTAAAACTTCTTCTGTTTATTGTATCCAAAGTTGGGGGAAAATTTTAGTAGACGAACGGCAAATTCTAGAAAAAGGGGGGATGAGGGGGGGTAGAATAGGACCCCCTGATTTCAAAACTACCCCCCTTTTTTCTAGCAACCCTATAGTTCTTATATAATTTATTGTTAAAGTTTTCATATAAACGATGAATAAGATAGCAAAATAACATACAACTTAGTGCTACCAGACTGGAATTTTGAATAATAAAAGCGGATTTTTAATTCGGAATTTTTACTTAGTAGCATTATTATTTCTGTGTTGCCGAAGAAGGGGGGGCTGAACACATTTTGCAGAGAACACCTTTCTGCGTAGGCGGCCTTCGGCCGCACTTAGGGATTATAACCCTCAGGCAGTAGAATTCTCCTTTCTGTTTTGCGAAGAAAAGGAGCTGAACACCTTTTGCAGAGAACACCTTTCTGCGTAGGCGGCCTTCGGCCGCACTTAGGGATTATAACCCTCAGGCAGTAGAATTCTCCTTTTTGTTTTGCGAAGAAAAGGAGGTGAACACCTTTATGCGTAGGCGGCCTTCGGCCGCACTTAGGGATTATAACCCTCAGGCAGTAGAATTCTCCTTTCTGTTTTGCGAAGAAAAGGAGCTGAACACCTTTTGCAGAGCACACCTTTCTGCGTAGGCGGCCTTCGGCCGCACTTAGGGATTATAACCCTCAGGCAGTAGAACTCTCCTTTCTGTTTTGCGAAGAAAAGGAGCTGAACACCTTTTGCAGAGAACACCTTTCTGCGTAGGCGGCCTTCGGCCGCACTTAGGGATTATAAACCTCAGGCAGTAGAATTGTCCTTTCTGTTTTGCGAAGAAAAGGAGCTGAACACCTTTTGCAGAGAACACCTTTCTGCGTAGGCGGCCCTCGGCCGCACTTAGGGATTATAACCCTCAGGCAATAGAATTCTCCTTTCTGTTTTGCGAAGAAAAGGAGCTGAACATTTTCTTTTGTATTGATTTCCCCTGTATTCCTTTTTAATCATTGCCTACTTTGTATGTATTGTTTTGTACAATAAGGCAACACATGTTATGTGTCAGTTTGCAACCATGTGTTATTATAAATATGCGTGAAATTCAATGTAATTTACAAGTCGATAAAAGTTTAATTAAAGTGATTTATATACAAGATAAAATAAAAGAAAAGTGTGTAAAGTATTAAGTACAGTGTTATGTGCATTTATATATATAAAAGTATGCACAAATGCTTTTTTTGTTAAGGAAACCAAGTGGAACGACTTAAGAAATTTTTACAACAAATAACTTATAAACAATGATATTATTTATATTTTTTAGGGGTGGGCTTTAGTAGTCAGCCGCACCTTGTGTTTTAAGAAAACCAGGTGGAATTAACAAATGAAACTTGGTCAGGATGTTAAGGGAGGTATTCTCTAAAACATGTATAACTAAAAAAGGGAAAATTTTAGTAGACGGACGGCAAATTCTAGAAAAAGGGGGAATGAGGGGGGGTAGAATAGGACCCCCTGATTTCAAAACTACCCCCCTTTTTTCTAGCAACCCTATAGTTCTTATATAATTTATTGTTAAAGTTTTCATATAAACGATGAATAAGATAGCAAAATAACATACAACTTAGTGCTACCAGACTGGAATTTTGAATAATAAAAGCGGATTTTTAATTCGGAATTTTTACTTAGTTTGTAAATAAATTAGTGACCAAAAATTACAATAGTGGATGTTAAAATAATGGGTGGACCCTTGGCTACAAGTGTGTGCAATTTTTTTTTGGATCGGGCCACCCCTTTGGACGCAATACCCCGAAATAGGTGGGCCACTTACTAAACAGTACCCCAACTATTGATTGCGTGTCCTAAATTGCTCCGCAACGTTCCCCTTTTCCCTTATTTAAAACCTTTAATCAAAACATACATACGTACATCTATATATATATATATATATATATATATATGAATACGCGACACAGTCCAGCATATAAAATAGCAAAAAGACAATCACACCACAAATATTAAGACTAAATCATTTCCAAGTTTATCTTCAGAGTTCTTTAGTTTTAACCTTCTATGAGGTACATAATTCAAATCTTATTATATTGCAAAATTTTACACTATACAATTAAATCGCTGCTTCATGTTCGTTTTAATTAAAAGGCACCGGGTAGGTAGAAAACGATACTAGTAAATACAAGTACATACTCGATACTTTTCATCCGATACCAAGTAATTGTGGTACCAATACTTTTGCACCGAGTACTAAGCAGGTATCCTATACAAGGTTCTTACCCGTACGCAACGCGGGATCCCGCGGCCGCCCAAAACAGTCCAGAATCATTCCCGTACTCAACAAAATGCGTAATAGAAAGCGAAAATTGAAACGTTATGGGCTGTTTTTGCTTACGCGTAAATGTACATTTAGCGCATTTAGCTCTAAATGCTACTCTAAATGTAAATTTATCCATACAAAATTCGTCATCTAAATGCAACTAAATGCAACTCAATCTTTGCATTTAGAATCTAAATGCTAAAAGCATCCCTGTGATCTTCCAAAATTTCCACGATTCGAACATGGTTTAATGAGAAAAAGTGGCAACATTGCTTTTTCGAGTATACAACCGCTAGCTGCGTTTCAGTGATCGCCGATCGAGATTTCATTTATTATTTTACATTATTTGGATAAAGAAAAGTTACGCAAATTCAACATCGATATGATGCTGATAGAAATCTGGATTAATTTGTGATCAACTCTGTTTGTTTTGTTTCCTAATTAGGTGTGGAAAATATAATTGGCAGCACCGACAAATGAATATATACACAAACAAATGTTCGGTTATGGTTAAAACAATTCAGGTTTTTGTATTGAATTTTCGGTTTAGAATTTATTTTTCCTTTTCAGTAGGGGTTTTTGCACATTATCTTTTCCGTGAGAATTTATCGTAATGGATACGGATCTGAATAAGCGACTGGAACACGGCTGTTTGTCAAAAGCATACGATTTCGAACTCGCGTAAATGTACATTTGCTAAATGCGATAGCATGAACGCTCTTCGAAAACATATGTTCGAAAGTGCTAAATGTTGCATTTTAAATGCAGCAAAAACGTTGCATTATGGTTCGTAAGTGTCTTCTTCTTCCTGCCCGAAACAGCCCGGGCTTTTTCTCCGGGTAAAAATGGATAAAATGTGTCAAAGTCAGCGTTGCCAGGTCTTCGGCATGAGAAAACGTCCCTCTTGGTCTGAAAAAACCTCAATTCCTACCCAAAAACGTCTTTTTCAAATGCATGTACAAAAAATTGTTCTTATTTAAACTTTTATTGTATACAAAGGTACATATCGAGCCCTAACCGCCAAGCTAACGTAAGCGACATTCATCATTGCATCAAAAAAATATGTTGAAAAAAATTTCGCTTAAGTACGTTGTTTTGGCGGTTAGGGCTCGATATGTATGTAGGGTATTAAGTCATCAACATTTTGATCGATTTTGGCTGTTTCTCTTTCGTTTATTTAATGTTTATTATTCTTCCATAAAGGCCAAGCTCATTAACAAACCAAATATAAAATATAAAATTATAAACAATCTGCAAATTTTCAGCTAGATTTTCAACTTTCTATTCAGATTTTTTAGCCCTTTAAATTTCAGGGCAATAATGTGCAAGTTTAAAGGGGCTAAATAATCGCGTTGATTTTTAACAATTTTTTTTTTTCTTGTAGAAATTTGGTTAGGGCTCGGTTGTCGAAAATGCTAAATTACGTTCTGCTAAGAAGGAGCATAGCAATAGGTCTATTCAATATCAAAAAATTGTTACGAGTTGTTACTAGTACTTGCAAGTTTTTACTGCAAATGCATTCAATAACCCAAAATATTTGCAAGAGGAAGCGAATTCGAGAGCGTAACAACCCCAGAGAGGTGCAAATTCTTGCAAGTAAGAATTTTACTAGCAGGAATTTGCAGTAGTCCAAAAGTAAGGTTATGTTTCAAATTCAAATGTAAACAAACTGTTTAGGAGGATGATTTGCTGAAACATAACTAGTGAAATAAAAATATGGATAAAAAATTTAAATCTATTGTATATTTTTTTACTTTTATGAAGATGGAAACTATTCCTAATTAAAAAGAAAATTGCGCACCAAAACTTTACCGTCAGAAAGTGTCAAAATGGCTCAAGTTGCAAGTTTTTACTAGTTTTGCGTTCAATAACTTTCTGAAAATTTTCTCTTGCTCTCAATTTTACTCTCTACTTTCCTTTTACGCTCTCGCTGCAAGTACTTACTGGAAAAGTTATTGAATGGACCAAATATTTCAGTATTTTTTGCGTTCAGTACATTTTCAATGAAGTCTTAAAAAAGTCGCCTACTTTTTTCTGACGTTTTATGCTGCACAGCTTTTTTGATGCTTTTGCGAGTGTGTCTGCTGCAATATATCAGCCCTACCTAATTTTAGCTTTTAATGTGCAATTGCATCATTACAGCAAGCCTCGTAACCTCAAGTGTTTACACAACCAGCCTTTGAGCAAGGGATCCTTAGTCTAATCAAACAAAAAAAAAACTTTGGAGGAAGCAGCTGCAGCAAAACACAAAGATTGTAAAGATTTATTAAGAAAATAATTCAAAATCAGTTCTACTTATAAGATTTCGTAACAAAGAAAAATTACTGGGAACTTAAAAAACGTCATTTTTTACACAAAAAACGTCCACACGTCAACAGGGTACAAAATACGTCCAAATGACGTTAAGAACGTCAACCTGGCAACGCTGGTCAAAGTGCATATCGTGTTGTCTGCATTTACTTGGTGGTTTTAAGGAACAGTGAACGTCATGTTGATGTATTTTCAATCTTTGTATGCTTAAAATCAAATTTATGAAACCGAAATTCAATTTCCAAGTGTTTGCATTTAAGTGACAAAAACAAAAACAACGTGAATCAGCCGTTTCTCAAATTCCGGGCGCGAAATGTGGTTTTTTGCATTCCCGTACTTCTGGACTTTAGTCCACTTACACGCGAAGCTCATTTAACAGATTCCTTATGTGACATCGCTCAAGCAATGCCAAGTATGCATAATGGAGCCTTTAGGGAAAGAACCTACCATGTTCTAACCAACAACGAACACACATTTAGACTTGGAAAACTATCGATACTATCGACACCACTATCGATAGTTTGGTACTATCGATGGTACTATCGATAGTCCAGCGACTATCGAACTATCGATGTTTATATTATTCACTTCTCTTCCTTTACGCGGAATTCAAATTGTTCGTAAAGCAGTGTTTTGCATTATAGGGCATTCGCACGGGCGATTTTACAGGCAACAAAAGTTGAATACGTAGTTGAATGAGAAGTTGAAAGTGAAAAAGTTGCCATCCCTATTCAGACGAGGCGATTTTGGATTCAACACGAATCGTTATTTACATTATTGAAAATGAATTTAAATCGCAAAATTTTATCAATTGGCGTAAATTTGGTAAGCCAAGCGTTGGTAGAAGTGCTTTTAGCGAAGCTGAAAGATAAAATAAGAGTAAAAAAGTAAAAAAGAAAAAAAAGTATGTATACAGAACAGTGTTGGTATTTTTGGTACAATTGTACTTGTTTGATACAATTTCATTTACAATATACTTTCCTACTACGCAGTACTTTTTAGTAAAATTTTGTAATGAATACTAAAAATATATAGCTCTGAAAATTCACAGTTCGCCTGTTCGTATTTACCTTTGTAAGTTTTGAAAATGGCTTCAACGAACCAGTATAACATAGCCTAGCCAAATTTTTAAAGAAACTTTTCGATACTAAGTTTTATTAAAACAAAATTTCAAAGTCAGCTTCATATAGAAACAAAGTCTTCGTTAGTTATAAGAAGAGATTTTTTTAAATATAATACCTTTACGGCACTCACATATTGACAAGGTTTTACTATTTATTTTATTATTCTTTGATTTTAATTATCTGTTTAGAAACTATAATGTATTCTTTAAGAAAAACTGTATAAACCCAAGATTAAATCTTTGCGAAACATCCAAAAACCAACATACTGTCGTAAAAATTTCGAGCTTTATTAATATTCTTTAGTTTTTAGCCCATTCAATTTTAGTATAATAAAGTGCAAGTTTAAAGTAGCTGGGACTTACCGTTGAACTTGGCAATTTTGTTTTGTCGACGATGTCAGCCATTTTCTTCCATACGAAGTGTGTTCGACGATTTTTTTATATGGAGGAAATTAGCAACACCTTCATCAAAGAAATCTTAAAAAACTTAGTTATATTAAAATTTAATGGGCTAAAAAACCACACACTCAAAATAAATCTAGGAAATCGAATTAAATAGATCGAAATTTTTACGAAAGTGTGTTGGTTTTTTTAATGTTGCACAATGTTTGAACCTTGGATTTGTACGGCTTTTCTTAAAATATAAAGCGTATTTTTACAAAAAATAATTAAAATTGAATAATATTAAGATAAATGGTCAAATCTTGTCGTAAAGTTTTGATAAGCACTTGAAATTCTATTACAATGTCAAATTTTAGTACTGAATCCAAAGAAAATGTCTCTTTTATCTATTAATAATAACTTAAATATGCTTTTTGTTAAGATGTATACCTGAAAATGTGTGCATACATATTTGCGTTAAATGCAATACATGTGCACGTGGAATCAATTTGTAAAAGTGTAAAATACATAAACGTATGTACATAAACAATAAAACTTTCTCATAAATACCATAAAATCATTGGTCTTGAAGGGAATGTACTAAGAAAATATATGAGCGAATTAAAAAGTGTATACAATTTATAGCCGAAAAGTAAATTTTTTGTATAGATTTCGTACTGAAGGAACAATTTCATATCCCAAC